TTGTGTTAAAAAATTAGGTTTTGCATGCAGCGTCCCTCCCTCCTTCAATGAAGCCCTATTGCTTCCCTATACCTCTGTTATTACAATTTTTTTTTAATGTTCCCTCTCCTTACCGGTTCAGAGCGATCTTATGCACTCTGAGATGGTTAAACGGTCCAATGAAACGGTTCTCTATGAAAATCATTTGACTAGACCTTGCAACAGCTCACGTCAGGTGGGGAGTGTATTCCAAGTAAGTTTTATATCAAAATTTAAGTTAAGTGGTGGGGACTAAAAAATAATAACCACATATTAAAAATGGGTTTATAAAACCCTATAGGAACCACTGTGATACAATATTAAACAAACATACAATGGTTCACCAAACACTATAGAAGGTATAAATATTTAATGAGGGTAAAGGACAAAATGACAAAAAAAGGCCAGCACATATTGAGTAAAACCAAAACATTAGACTGTCTACGTATACAATAACATTGTATGTATCATAGGGACGGTTCACTTATCAAGTTTTAGGTACTTATCATGGCAGAGGTTTGACTAACTGATGTATGCCAGCTATTTGTCAACCATATTACCCAGGAAGCTCAGCTAATCTGTTGTCCATAAACTAATAGTTCATAAAAATAAAAAATAAATGGTCAGATAACGAAATATTGATTTAATAGAAGATGAAGCAAACGAAGACTGCCTGTGAAAAACGCTATAAATAATGGAACTCCTAGGACCGTGTTGTATGCTTGGTACCAATTTGGTCATATTCCCAAAAAAATGTACAGGAAAATTTCCATTTGGAAGAGACATCTATTTAACAGGTCACATTATAGTCCCAAAAACATAACGTAGGAGTAACAAGGGATGGGATTATTCTAAATTCGTATCTTCGTATTTCACTAATTTTTTTACTAGGAAGATACATTTAAATTTCTCTTATTCTTAAGTATGTCCTGGAAATATTTTTTCTTTGATCCTCTAAAAGTTCACCTGTTATAGAAATATGTTAAGGCGACACTTATAGGTAATTTGGTTCACCTACACACATTGTTTTAGTAAACATGCTTTCAAATATGAAGTTTTTAGTTTATACCTCTTTGTGTAGGTGTAAATTTATTATATGGATGCAGAACTTGGTGGAATGTCCACTCCATTCTTCCATGATGTGTGGTTTCCCAAAACGCTTTTCACGTAGCTCTGTTGTGGGCATTGTGGTATGCCTCAAGCACCATTGCGGGAGTGAGTAGGTGCCCACAGATTCAATTAGGAGGCAATTTACAGGTAACAATCACTTTAACAGGTTTACATAAACAACTAGGAATTGTTGGAAATTCACAGAAGAATTCAGAATTTTAGGCCAATATAGGTGATCTGAAAAAATAACTGCCATTTTTTTAATTCTACTATTTTTGCCTAAAATGTTTAAATTCTGGTTTAATTAATAACCCTGCCAAGGTAAAAAAGATACGTGGTAAAAAAGGAAGAGGATCTAAGCCGGTCTCAAATAATCTACAATAGTTAAAGTCAATAGTGTGTCCATTGATTTGAAATAAAACTAGGGGTAGGACCAACTAATGGTAAATGGTTATATGTTTCAAGCTAGATTTAGGTCTTATACCTAGAGACTTATTTACCATATTGAGAAATTAAGATAATTGGCCAAAATAGGCAAACTAGAAATGTTCTTAATTTCAACTATTTTTTCAAACCTCAATACAATTTGCAATTCCTATGTCAATTCTACCCCACTCTTAGCTTAATACACATACCTCATACACTACAGCTGGGGTACGCAGCCAGAATTACGGCTATAAGAGCATTATCGGAGATATAGTCCACAACATCTGGAGTGCCAAAGGTTGCCTACCCCTACACTACACAATGGCTGAAGATTTCCCTACCACAATTAATGTATATGTAGATCTAAATTGTTATCTTACCTGAAGTCTACCTTGTTATTGACACATTTTATGAATTCAAGATCCACTTTAATCTAGGTCATTGGATCCCAACTAAAATGGTCTAAACTTTGTCATGAGCTCTCTAAAAATGGAATTGGGAAACTTCCAAATCCGGACTATCGATGTTCCTTTAGGACAAGTGTTCTAGATTACAATTACTTCTGAAATTTGAATCTTTAAGTTCTTTTTAAGAGAGAGGGCATCTATTGACTAAAATGCTGATTCACAAATATACTAATATTTACTAGACCAGAACACAGCTTTGTACATTATCAAGCAACGATACAGATTGGTACAATTTATTGATTTAGGGAATACATGCAAAATGTGCGGATGTCATGGATTCATAGCCTGGGCCCAATATATTAAAGAATGGGGCACTAAGGAAGATTTTCTATGTCCTCCTTGCTCACATCATCGTGATAAAACTTGAGGCCATTGCAAAAATGATCACTCTCCCAGTGAGCGATAAGGGTCTTTTAATGATTACAGTGCTGTGCCATGAGGAGCAATCCATGGGGGGATTAATAGGGATCAGCTGGCCTCCTTAGCGCCTTAGGAGTCTGATCCCAAATGCAAATATCTGCCTGCCTGCCAGTCTATCTGTCATCTAAATGCAACCCAGTAAAGCATAATTCAATACAAATATTATTATTTCTAGACTTAAGTATGATGGTGGGGGGGGTGTAGAATCTATTTAGGAACATTGCTCAAGTGGTCCTACTGTACTACCTATACCTGTTTCTTTGCGGGACCAGAGGTTTTGCTTTTTTTTTTTGACTATGCCAACTTAATTACCCCCTCCTTGCGTCCAGATTGAACCACGCAGACTATCTGAATGAACTACAGGTTCTTATAAGGGAAGGCATAAATGCCACGTGACTTGATGATACAGGGAGTGACGAAAATTCATATGAACAGGGACACCCCCCCCTTTTCCCCGCAACCCATTTATTCCCTTCAATGCAAAGCAGATATATCTGGTAATCACTGGGTTAATAAGTAGTGGGTTAAAAATGAAGGATACTATGACTGTTATTATAAAACGGGAAGGTATGAGAGAAAATCTCAGCGTAACCCACATCTATACCACAATACATCTCTTTCATCCACCACGTGCTTCGTACAATAGCTGGAATTTCTTTTTATTTCACGATTCTCCCCCCCAACACAGGGTCTCTATGCAATCCGTCCAATAGGCTGAGTCATAAAGGAGGCAACTGTACCATCAACATTCCGACTTACAGTCTACAAATGAAACATCTATGCACCTCTAGAAGGCAGGGCCAAGTGAAACCATGGAGATCTCACTGTAAGAGAACACATTGAATGCCAGCAATTTATCTATTTGTTGCCTTATGGAAGCATCCTGTATCACAGCTTCGACAGTAAACTCCACGTGCACCGTCCGATTAGAAGAATGGCTGATATTCACGTGCCCCTTAATACTATATATAAACATTTTTGGAGCAGATTACTTGTTCACGAAGATCTAACTTGGACAAAATCTTATTTGCTCTAGTGATCTCTTCTCGAACATGAGGAATTACTTGTGTTAAAACATTTGATGAACGAATGCATCTGCTCCCAGACCTCTCACGTTTCCTTTTCATACACAGCACCACATTACAGTAACGATCCAGTATGCCTTTCTAATTGAGCTGGGATTCTTCTTAGAACACATGATACCTTTGATACCCCGATACCTTTTATTCTGCATCTTCGCCCTCCTATGGACCGCCACATCAATAAAATTCATCCCATGAAATAAACCAATGAAATATTACAAAATTTTATCCAGTGACTACATGAAATATTACACAATTTTATCCAGTGACACCACCCTACACCATTAATCGAAATTCCAGTTCTCACTAATTCTGTGGACTCAGTCTTTTAATAAATAGAAAAAAAAAAAAGAAAAATAAATTAAAAGAGATAAAACTTACATTTTGTCGCCTGGCCTAAACGCTTAAGTGAAATCCATGTTTGGAGGTTGTCGCTAAATCGCAGCATCGTGCCAGATGTTACAAGGATGGAAGAGGTAGATCCACCCCACCCCCCCCCCTTAAAAACAGAACTGGCCTTGTAGCAAGCTGACTTGTTAACCCTGTCAGGCTTGGAGAGACCCACCAAGCACTGCACTTAAATACTCAGCAGCTCTCTCTAACACTGTAGAGGGTAAAGGAATTTAAAAGCACATGTCTTTTTTCCCCCTCTCTCTCTCTTTTGATTGCTTTCCAAGTCCCTCGTTCTCTGGATGAAAGACAGAAAGGATAAAACATAGCCAGCTCTATTGCCTTTCGCTTCATCTGACTTTCTGGATGGCTGCTTGCTGTGTGTGTTAGTGGGAGAGGGGGTGTAGGAGGAAGGGAGGGATGTAAAAGGGGGGTGTCTGGAGGGAGGACTAAAACGGCATTGGCTTTGACAATGTATAGAGGAGATTGGAAAGGGGTGGGAGGCGAAGAGAGGGCGGGAGAGGGGAAAGAGAGGCAGATAAAGGCAGAGAGGGTGATGGAAAAAAAAAGACGATGAGGTGAAGGTGAAAGAAGGAGAGAGAGATTCAGGGAGGGGAAGAACAAGATTATAAAAGAGAAAGAAAAAAGAAATGAATAGTAAATGAAAAGAATGTTTTAGGCACAAGATACATTTTCCACACATGATGGGATGTTGGATGTTTTAATGGTAATTTAGTTTCTTATCATATTTCTTTTAGCAAAACACTATACATTTTCCTTTTTTTTTTTAAATTCTTTTTAAGAATGTCTCAGGAGATTATGAAAGCCAAGTTCATTGTGAACTTTATCTTTGGCCAATTTTCATTTACCAGGAGTACTCGGGTTATAAGGACCGCTGGCACAGGCAAACAATTTTATATTACATCCTACAAGAATGGATCAGGTGCTGGCTCAAGTTCCCACAGATCCAGCCCACTCCTTTTTGCTATCTACTTTCAATGGGGATATTCCTAAAACCCTTTACTAGGAACAGTGCAAACAGTAATGGATCTATAAAGTGTACATTCTAATAAACCAGGTTAATTTATCAAATATTAGAAAAAAAAAACTGTGTGGTTGGCACAAAATCTTGTAAAGAGGGCAGTTTGAGGTGTCGGGACAGGATAGGGTGCAGGGTGTATACAGAATAAGACAGAATGGGGTGCATGGTGTATATAGAATTAGACAGGATGGGGTGCGGGGTGTATATAGAATTAGACAGGATGGGGTGCGGGGTGTATATAGAATAAGACAGCATGGGGTGCAGGGTGTATATAGAATAAGACAGAATGGGGTGCAGGGTGTATATAGAATAAGACAGGATGGGGTGCGGGGTGTATATAGAATAAGACAGGATAGGGTGCAGGGTGTATACAGAATAAGACAGAATGGGGTGCATTGTGTATATAGAATTAGACAGGATGAGGTGCGGGGTGTATATAGAATAAGACGGTATGGGGTGCGGGGTGTATATAGAATAAGACAGGATGGGGTGCATGGTGTATATAGAATAAGACAGGATGGGGTGCAGGGTGTATATAGAATAAGACAGGATGGGGTGCAGTGTGTATATAGAATAAGACAGGATGGAGTGCGGGGTGTATATAGAATAAAACGGGATGGGGTGCGGGGTGTATATAGAATAAGACGGGATGGGGTGAGGGGGGGATTTAGAATAAGACAGGATGGGGTGTGGGGTGTATACAGAATAAGACAGAATGGGGTGCAGGGTGTATATAGAATAAGACAGGATGGGGTGCGGGGTGTATATAGAATAAGACAGGAAGGGGTGCGGGGTGTATACAGAATAATACAGGATGGGGTGTATATAGAATAAGACAGGATAGAGTGCGGGGTGTATATAGAATAAGACAGGATGGGGTGCATGGTGTATATAGAATAAGACAGGATGGGGTGCTGGGTGTATATAGAATAAGACAGGATGGGGTGCGGGGTGTATATAGAATAAGACAGGATGGGGTGCTGGGTGTATATAGAATAAGACAGGATGGGGTGCGGGGTGTATATAGAATAAGACAGGATGGGGTGCGGGGTGTATATAGAATAAGACAGGATGGGGTGCAGGGTGTATATAGAATAAGACAGGATGGGGTGCAGGGGTGTATATAGAATAAGACAGGATGGAGTGCACGGTGTATATAGAATAAGACAGGATGAGGTGCGGGGTGTATATAGAATAAGACAGGATGGGGTGCGGGGTGTGGGGTGTATATAGAATAAGACAGGATGGGGTGTAGGGTGTATATAGAAAAAGACAGGATGGGGTGCACGGTGTATATAGAATAAGACAGGATGAGGTGCGGGGTGTATATAGAATAAGACAGGATGGGGTGCACGGTGTATATAGAATAAGACAGGATGAGGTGCGGGGTGTATATAGAATAAGACTGGATGGGGTGCAGGGTGTATATAGAATAAGACAGGATGGGGTGCGGGGTGTATATAGAATCACACCGGATGGTGTGCGGGGTGTATATAGAATAAGACCGGATGGGGTGCAGGTTGTATATAGAATAAGACAGGATGGGGTGCAGGGTGTATATAGAATAAGACAGGATAGGGTGCACGGTGTATATAGAACAAGACAGGATGGAGTGCACGGTGTATATAGAATAAGACAGGATGAGGTGCGGGGTGTATATAGAATAAGACAGGATGGGGTGCGGGGTGTATATAGAATAAGACTGGATGGGGTGCAGGGTGTATATAGAATAAGACAGGATGGGGTGCGGGGTGTATATAGAATCACACCGGATGGTGTGCGGGGTGTATATAGAATAAGACCGGATGGGGTGCAGGTTGTATATAGAATAAGACAGGATGGGGTGCAGGGTGTATATAGAATAAGACAGGATAGGGTGCACGGTGTATATAGAACAAGACAGGATGGGGTGCACGGTGCATATAGAATAAGACAGGATGGGGTGCATGGTGTATATAGAATAAGACAGGATGGGGTGCACGGTGCATATAGAATAAGACAGGATGGGGTGCATGGTGTATATAGAATAAGACAGGATGGGTGTATATAGAATAAGACAGGATGGGGTGCGGGGTGTATATAGAATAAGACAGGATGGGGTGCGGGGTGTATATAGAATAAGACAGGATGGGGTGCACGGTGTATATAGAATAAGACAGGATGAGGTGCGGGGTGTATATAGAATAAGACAGGATGGGGTGCAGGGTGTATATAGAATAAGACAGGATGGGGTGCGGGGTGTATATAGAATAAGACAGGATGGGGTGCAGGGTGTATATAGAATAAGACAGGAGGGGGTGCACGGTGTATATAGAGTAAGACAGGATGGGGTGTGGGTGTATATAGAATAAGACAGGATGGGGTGCGGGTGTATATAGAATAAGACAGGATGGGGTGCGGGGTGTATATAGAATAAGACAGGATGGGGTGCACGGTGTATATAGAATAAGACAGGATGGGGTGTGGGGTGTATATAGAATAAGACAGGATGGGGTGTAGGGTGTATATAGAAAAAGACAGGATGGGGTGCACGGTGTATATAGAATAAGACAGGATGAGGTGCGGGGTGTATATAGAATAAGACAGGATGGGGTGCACGGTGTATATAGAATAAGACAGGATGAGGTGCGGGGTGTATATAGAATAAGACTGGATGGGGTGCAGGGTGTATATAGAATAAGACAGGATGGGGTGCGGGGTGTATATAGAATAAGACAGGATGGGGTGCTGGGTGTATATAGAATAAGACCGGATGGGGTGCAGGGTGTATATAGAATAAGGCAGGATGGGGTGCAGGGTGTATATAGAATAAGACAGGATAGGGTGCACGGTGTATATAGAACAAGACAGGATGGGGTGCACGGTGTATATAGAATAAGACAGGATGGGGTGCGGGGTGTATATAGAATAAGACAGGATGGGGTGCAGGGTGTATATAGAATAAGACAGGATGGGGTGCGGAGTGTATATAGAATAAGACAGGATAGAGTGCGGAGTGTATATAGAATAATACAGGATGGGGTGCACAGTGTATAGAGAATAAGACAGGATGGGGTGAAGGACTCACAGAGGAGACAGATTGACAGGGAAGTTGCTGCGATCGATAGTATCACTGAAATGTGGATTAGTATCCTGGAGAGGTGTTGCAGGGAGCACAATGATGTGGGCTCTTTGGGAGTGCAGGGCACGTCTGATCCGGGAATATCTGTATAGGAAGATAATAAGCCTGTTTCAGTAGACCGAATGTGAATTATCTGACTATTGAATGTTCATCCCATCTCTGCTCCCCTCTCTCACCCTGTGTGGATGTCTCACTCTGGTGTAGCTGATCGGGTAGAGTTGGTATAATTATGGCAGCTTCATCCACTGCTGGTGGGGTGCAGCCATCCACTGGGATCCTGAACCCAAAACCATGGTCCGATAAAGCATTGGAAGTCACATCCTGAATAAATAGGAAGGAAGAACACAGAAACAATACATGTGTATATGGAATATAGTTATGGAGAAACAGTACAGGTGTGTACATATTACACATATAGAAAAGCAGTACAGGTATGTACATATTACACGTACAGAGAAACAGTACAGGTGTGTACATATTACACGTACAGAGAAACAGTACAGGTATGTACATATTACATGTATAGAGAAACAGTACAGGTGTGTACATATTACAGGTATAGAGAAACAGTACAGGTGTGTACATATTACACGTACAGAGAAACAGTACAGGTGTGTACATATTACACATATAGAGCAACAGTACAGGTATGTACATATTACAGGTATAGAGAAACAGTACAGGTATGTACATATTACACGTATAGAGAAACAGTACAGGTGTGTACATATTACACGTATAGAGAAACAGTACAGGTATGTACATATTATACGTATAGAGAAACAGTACAGGTATGTACATATTACACGTATAGAGAAACAGTACAGTTATGTACATATTACATGTATAGAGAAACAGTACAGATATATACATATTACAGGTATAGAGAAGCAGTAAAGGTGTGTTGAAAGTACAGGTATAGAAGCCGTACAGGTATGTAGAGAATACAGGCAGGCATGCCCAGGGAGCACAGGTATGCAAAAATAATACAGGTGTGTATAAGGAATAAAGGTACACAGAGACAGTACATGTGTGAGAATGAATATGTATGCAATGGTGAAAAAAACTACTGTTTTTAAATAATGAATTTTGGGATTTTAATAAGTTTAGCATGAATGCATTTAACCTTACACCTTAAATTTTTATACATATGTGTAGATAGACAGATAGATAGACAGATAGCTAGACAGTCAGACAGACATATAGACAGACAGACAGGTGGATAGATAGACAGACAGACAGGTAGATAGATATACAGACAGATAGTTAGTTAGTTAGTTAGTTAGTTAGTTAGTTAGATAGATAGGTAGATAGATAGATAGATAGATAGATAGATACATAGTTAGTTAGTTAGTTAGATAGGTAGATAGATAGATAGATAGATTTTATTATACACACATCGAAATCTTACCTCTTCTTCGTTGATTCCTGAAAAAATATCAGATAGAGAGATTCTTTTCTGTGTCTGCAATAAATATAAAGAAATAACAATTTAGCTTTGTGTTTCTAGATACCTGTACACCATACATGGTATGAATATCCTCAGGCGGAAAAACTCCCAGAACTGGGGCTGAAATTCCGATCATTCTCCTACATCCTCGGATGAACGTGATGAAAGATGCTGTAGTTGATTAAAGATGTACTTGGCAAACTGACTGTCAGTTTCAATAGAATAAAATCTGACACTGTAATTGTGTATATTATACCAGCTATTGTCAGTGGCTGGCACGATAGGGGTTGCTATCGGCAGCAGAGGTTGACTGTTATTTTAGGACATATTACTGACTTGATACTGTATAAATTAATAATTGATGAGTAAGTTATCTCAAAAGGCATCTCACATTAACCCAATAGGTACATCTGTGGGGCCCTTTGTTAAAGTTATAATGCTGGATAGAGAGTGATGGGAACTGTAATACAATACTGATCTAAAAATTAATGCATATTAAGAACCTATTTCCTCATATCTCATCTGCACTTAGTCTCACTCTCTTGCTCTTCCTCTCACTAAAATTTTCAATCTATGCCTTTTCTCTGGCACATTTCCTTCACCCTTCAAACATGCAACCATAACCCCGATTCTGAAAAAACCTAGCCTTGACCACAACTCCCCATCCAACAACCGCCTTATATTGCTACTGCCATTTGCCGCTAAGATCCTTGAGAGAGTTGTGTATGCGAGATTGACAGACTTCCTTGAATCCAACTCTCTGCTTGACCCACTTCAGTCTGGATTCTGCGCTAGTCACTCTGTCGAAAGGGTTGTGACCAAAGTATCCAATAATTTAATCGCTGCTAAATCTTGTGGCCATTACTCTATCCTAATTCTCCTTGATCTTTCTGCTGCCCTTTACACTGTTGATCATTAACAGTTTCTTCTCATACTCCGTAATCTTGGTCTACGGGATACTGCTCTCTCCTGGTGCTCCTCCAACCGATGCTCGCCTTCAAGACTTCTCCAGGGCTGCACTTTTTCTGTGGAACTCCCTTCCCTTCTCTGTTAGACTTTCACCCAGTCTCCACTCCTTCAAAGACTCTTTGAAAACTCACTTCTTCAGGAAAGCGTATCAACTAAACTGTTAGCAGGTTTTCAACCCCCCCCCCCATGACTCTTCTCCTGCAACTGTCAAAAATGACCTACTAAGCCCTCAATTAATACTTTTCTAGCAACCTACTTCCGTCACCCCTACTTATACTTTTTGTGTCACTATACCCCACTCCCTCTAGCATATAAGATCATTGAGCAGGGCCCTCAACTCCTCTGTTCCTGTGCGTCTACTTGTCTGGTTACAATTACGTGTCTGTTAGTCCATCCATTGTACAGTGCTACAGAATTTGCTGGCGCTATATAAATAATAGAATAATAATAACAATATATCCACTTGCCGCTAGCCATTGGCGAGTAGAAATTTACCCTTGGTGAGTATGCTATGGCTTGCAGTGGCTAGTAACCTTTAAGGCTTGGCTAGTAATATAAGACTTCAAATTTGACGCCCAGTAATTAACTTTTTTTATATACACCAAATGCCCCCTTCTCCCCCCAAATTAGATCTATTATCTAATTTAATGCAATTAATTAGTAATTAGTGCTGTTTTGCTGCATATGTGCAAACATATTTCAGCAGGGAATATTTTTCTCATTTAAACAGATTTGCACATAGCCAATTATGTTCCCCTAATCATCGTACTCGAAATACTTCTATCTTCTCTCCTCACAATACAGAGTTCCCCTTGTTCCTGTACCTTGGTCATGGCGAGGAGTCCATTCCACTTTGTCTGATAGCTATTTCTTTCCAGCCCTGGGATGGATGTAGATAAGTTTGGCAGAAGACCCTTTTAGTCCTCTGGGCCAAACACATCCATAAGGTGACCATTATGTGCCAACTCCATGGCTTATCTTCTTCCTGATACCTGGGATCCCACCTTGGTCACGAATAAGACCGATATCTGTAACAGTTCATAAAATTCCAATGACAGCACGCACAAAACACTGACACCCTCCTCTGTGTCATGAGCACATCCTGGGGAGAGGAATCATTAGAAAGATCAGGTATCCTGCAGAGAGTGTAGAGTTACAGACAGAGTTGGTGATGTACAGCTGTCGATGAGCTACAACAATACCCCAGCAGAGCCGGGGCTTATAGGCAAAGAAAGGGGAGTCAGTGGAGATAGTAACTAGGAATAGCAGGCATTAATGTATTAGGTGGTGGTGGTGGGATGGGTAAAGAATCTTCACCCCCTCTGAAAATCTGGTGTAGCTTTTAAGATCCTATGTTTCACTTCTTCAGAAAACATTGCATGTTTAAAGAGATGAATATTTCACTCTACTGAAATTATATACTCCCATAACATGTAATTTTTCCTGTAGAAAATTGTATGTTGCCTGGAGCTGGGATGCCCCCCAATGAAAGCATGCATGTATTTACGTATACTTGCCTGAATTCCCATTTGCAAGGAAAGTTAATTAGTAATTTCAGCCAATGAACTAGTCATGTACTGCAGAGCTTAGCCAGTGCATATGGAAGTTCCTGGCAGGAGCTTACATTAGCTCAGCAGTAGCCTGAGTAGCTGCCCCTTTGATGTTATGAATTTGTATGGTTAAACAAGATTGTAACTATCTGAGTTAGCCAAAACTCCACTGAGAGCCAGGCAGGATAGAAGCCGGAGTGTAACTAGAAACCACGGGGCCCTGATCCGAAAACTGCCCTAGGGAACCCCCATACGCCCACCCCCCCATCGCCTCCATACGTGTGTGTCCCCCACACACACACATGCAGACACACACATATAGTGACACACACACATACATACATATAGACACACATACACATAAACACACAGACACACATACATACAGATACACACATACAGACACACAGACACACACACATACAAACACACACATACACACAGATAGAGACAAACATACATACAGACACACATGCACATACACAGAAACATACATACAGACACACATACACTAACACACAAACATGCTAAATATTTTAGTCACCCTTCTGCTTCCTACCTTTTAGGTTCAGGAGTGAGACTTTCCCTGCGGTCCAGTGGGTCAGGCTGATGGGAGTCAAAGTTCCTACTCTGACTCCCTCCTCTCCTTCCTCCTCCTACGTGGCATGGTGATTGCTCGGAGGAAGTGACCAGGGCAGTCACTTCCTCCCAGCCTCTGACCTCATTACAGGGAGCCCGGTCGCGCTTTTAAAGTGCCGCAATGCTGACCGGGCCCCCTGGAAATAACTTAGCATCGGATGGCCCTAACAGCATGGACCACCCGATGGGCCACTGAACGAGCAGCCCCAGCGGTTCTACTGCGCGGGAATACATCTTGTATTCAATAAAAAACAACGTATTTGCATTACAAAGAAAAGCCTGTTCAAATGAATATATTTGTCATATTTCAAACTTAAAATTTCAAATGTAACTTTGCAACCTTTATGATATGCACTTCTCGAGTGTAAAAAAATGAAGCATACCCCTCCTATTCTGTAAAGTCAAATGATCACACAGTTTGCTGCTACACACATATTTACAGACATACATTATCTGCCAACTCCAGGATACCTTGCAGTTTAATAACAATGGCCTATGTACTCTGACACTGCTCCTCAAATGACATTCATTTATTTATAAGGTTTGGCTGTGCACTGTCTTGTCTTGCTTTGTTCTTGTTTCCTGTTTTCTTCCATGCAGAGGGATGCATACAACTATTAACTCGAGGATGAATACAATTGCACAATAATCATTCAATATTTACTGATTAAAAGGTGTCTATTCACTACCTAAACAGGGAGTTTGATAATCTGGTAATTGTGGTAACTTTGCAAAATGTAAAATAAAATAGCAAGCTTGAAAACAATCTCCAGCCTAGTTATTTTAGCCTATTTTAGAAAACGTGTTGTCGGCTCACTGTAAATGTCCCAAACTCATGTGTTGCCTCAAATGATGCATTTTTTTTTTTTTTAAATCTTTATTTTTCGTCCGTGAAAATGGCAAACATATGTGTAAGACCACAATAGTCTTTACACATCAAAACAGTGAATATCATGTAAATAAATGTCTAGGATCGTTTCACAAACATTTTATAGATACAATTGGTCTCAATGTTATAACGAGTGATGTAAGTCGGGTAATCGTGATGATAGAGGGTACCTATCTGTCAATATCGCCCCTTGTATTGTAGGGTCGTGAGCTGCGGGAACAGGGTGGGAGTGACTAAATCTGGGTATTGTGTCTAACGTCTCGCCCTTTGTCCCGAGGATGTGGGTTTATGAGTCGTAGGGTGTCCCTTCAGTCTAGTGGTGGCTGCGTGTAGTCGCTAAAACAGTTCATAGCTATGGCTAGTGTGTCCAGACGATTATAGGTCGCTGTAATATGGCAGGATCAGGTCGGACCCGTGTGGTTCCAGGCTATGGTTATCAACCTAGTGGATGTGCCTGATGCCAGTCCGGTTT